TTTTCTCGTGTTTTCATTTTCCTCCCCCTCCCTGTCATCTATCAACAAGAAGCCCACTCAAAATTTCATTTTCATCTTCTTTCTGCCCTTAAGAAAACACAGGGTAACCATGGGGTTGGGGAACTCCCCTAAAACAAATGTCCATTCTTAACCAGAAAAGAAATGTGGCAGGAGTCTGTTTATTTAAGTGTAAATATATAAAATTATATTTTTATAACGGGTATAATTTAAACTTAATCTAAATGCACTTAAAGGTATGAATTACATAGATAAATATGAGACTAGGTGTATGGATGGACTGACTTACAAAACAGGACAAAAAGTACACCTAGTACTTACTAGGATAGGAAGTAAATTCCAAAAATTTTTTGGAAGCCAGGCAGTTGGCTTAAGCCTGTAATTGTAACTACTCAGGAGGCTGAGATCTGAGAATCATGGTTTGAAGCCAGCTGAGGGAGAAAAGTCTCCATGAGACTTTTATCTACAATAAACTACTCAAAAAGAAAGAAAGAAGGAAAGAAAGGAGGGAAGAAAACAAGGAAGGAAGGAAGAAAGGAAGGAGCAAAGGAAGGAGCGAAAGAAGGAAAGAAGGAAGGAAAAAAGAAAAGAAAGTTGCAAGTGGTGCTGAGGCTCAAGTGGTGCTAGCCTTTCGCACCAAGAGACTCGGGGACAGTGCCCAGGCCCTGAATTCAAGCAGCAAGACCTGAAAAAAAAGTATTTTTAGAAGTTTCCAGTATATTGGGCTACAGTGGCATTATAGGGATTATTCTGAGAACTGGGAATATCCTCGGGGTTTCCAATAAAATCACTGGGAGCAAGCTGAGGTCATTCCTGAAAGTCCATGCATGTGTATTACAAAGCCCTCTAAACTTGAAGCACAGCCTTGCAAACACAAGCAGACCATCCATTAGCTAGAGTTAGCGCTCTTGTGCTCACAGCAGCAGTAGCATTGCTAGTTTGTGTTTCTGAGCAAACATGGGTGCTCACACACAAACTGCCATGCGCCAGTGAAAGAGTTTGACCTTTAGGTCTATGAAAGGGTCACCTTTAAGAAGAATAACAGTTTTGATATGATTTAAAATGTTCTAAAACCCAATAATCGCATATCATTGAAGATAACTGTGTATTAGTATATGTAAACATGGACCAGAGACAAGATTTACAGAGTGAGTCAATGGAACTCGTCTTTCTCTACACATACAAAATAATTAATTAAATGAATAAATAAACAATCTGAGTCTGGGGCCAGAAGCCTGGCTTAAGGCCCTAAGTGAAATCTTCAGAGGAGAGAGAGGAGAGAGAGAGAGAAAGAGAGAGAGAGAGAAGAGAGAGAGAGAGAGAGAGAGAATGTGGAGAATTTAGAAGCCCTTCTACACTGCAGGTTACCCTTTCATCCCTACCCTGGCAAGAGCTGCGTGATGACCACGTGGTCCTAATAGAATGCTGAAATCTCCCTGCTTCCCGGGTATGATGTCTACAGTGACATATTTACTGTGAAGAGCTTTGGATTGGACAATCTTAAGTACAGTCCAGAAACTGATTTGGATATGGAGGCATAGGAAATCATCTTGGAACAAAGTAACTATGTTGAGTAGGTAGAAAAAAAAAAACAGGTTTAATTCAGTGACAATTATTGTGCACGTACCATGCTGTAAGTCCTGAATAGACAGACAAGGCCTCTCGTTGGGCAGATCTGACAGCTTTATGGGACTCTGGGAGTAGATGGCCAGTCTTTACTACTAAGGAAGGAAATAGCAAAATGAGTGGAAATTGCAGTAAGAACTGTGAGGAAGAAAAGAAAGGGGGAAGTAGGGAAGATTTTCAAGAAGAGCGTATAACATTTGAGGATATATTTGAGAATATAACATTGGAGCGCACCACTGAAGAATGGAAAGGACCAAGCTATGTGACTACCTGCGGGCCAGGGGCAAGTACTGCAGAGTTCAAGGTGATGCTGATGGATGAGTCTTGATGGTCTGAAACAGACATGTCTGAGTGTGAAGGGAAGGAGAAAGCGGGGCCCTGTGCCTGGAGGTCAGAGCACAGAGACAATTGTGGTCTCATTCCAGGCACCATGCAAAGACAGGCCAATGACGTGATTTCATTTATATAGATATATATAAAGTTTATTGGTGTTGCTTTGTAGAAAGCAGATTTGGGAAGATATTTAGAAAATAGAGGACTTGATGAAGTTTGTGGAATGCTTCACAATTTGGTGTTATCTTTGTCCCGAGCTATGATGATCTTCTCTGTATCTTTGCAGTTTTACTCTCTGGGCCTCCCAAGAAAGAACATTTGTTATTAGGCATGTTGTTATTGTCTGTCAGCCTGCTTATTTATATCATTGACCCCAAATGACCTTGAGCAATTAATCAAACTTTATACTCAAATTCAATTTAGACTGTTTCAAAAATGTTTTTGGTTGTTGTTTTTTTGTGAGTCACATGATCAGTCTATTTGTGGTAACGCTGGAGATGGATGTAAATGGAATAGAGAAGAGAAATTTTTCCTACAGTATTTTTTTAAACCATTAGAACTATCACTACTAATACAAAAACAAAAATAAATTTTCATTTCCCAGAACTGGCATTTATCTCAATCTTGTCTGGCATGCATTATAAAAATGACAAATGTTAGCTTTCAGCCTAGCAAATAGAATACCAACTACATTTCCACAAAAATTCCAGGGGCAGCCATGTACAGCTGAAACATTCTAATATGAAAAGGTGGTAGTGTCTTGATTATAGCTATAATTACACAGAAGATCAACTAGCAAAAGGAATATACTATAGAGTAACAAATCTATATTCCTAGGACCAAAGGATTAATACAAAAATAAAGAAGAAGGTCTGAACTCAGTTTTTCAATAACAATGAGATGATTAATGGTAAAAATACAAGAGTAGTCCTATAAGAAACAGAACTCTTTTTCTCACATAGTGGATATTAAATTCATATTTACTGAAGGAATGACCAATTGTTTACCTATTCATATGAAGGGAAAAATATTTCCACTGTGAAATATCTTGATCTAAATGATCCTCATTTCTGTGATCTTATAGAAGTTGCTTGCAGGATTTTAAAAAATTTTTCCTCCCCTTTTTCCCCATAAAAATAAAAGAACCACTTTAAGAAGAGTCATGAGAGTAATTTTGTTTCATAATTCAAATTTTATGAATGAATTTCTAGGTGTCATATAATTAACTAAACAGAAATAGCTGATATAACTAGGAGGCAGTATGCCAATCAACAGATTAGTTTGTACCAGTATTTGAAAAAGAAGCAAAACTCAACCATGTTTTCTTTAGTGGAAATAACTTAGTGAACACAGCACAGCCTCCATTTCCAAGGCTGGTGCATCCCTTGCACAGGTGCAAAGACAGACATCCTTAGACACACTCACACAGACGTCAGGTCTAGAGCTACTTCTCCTGGAAACATATCCTTCCACCCTGCAATCCTATTACTTTTTACCCTGCAATCCTATTACTTTTTGCAGTGGCTTAACATCTCTCTAACTCCACAAAATTCGTCACTCATAGCTAATTATACAATAGGAATTGTACACTGAGTTCACCATTCCCTTTTCGTTGCATATCATAGAAGCAGTGAAACCCTAGGACTGGGATTATCCTTGTGTCTTCTTACACTGTCTGCATCAAAAGTAGACCACTGTGCCTGATTTCAAAGGGTCCAAATTCACCTGACCCACAACAGGAGTCTGGAAAGCTGTGTGGGGCTGGTCTCTCTATGCAGGAAGTTCCTGCTCAGGCCCACATAGGCCTGACATTGGCTGCTAGTCTTTCAAGGTCATGTGTACATTGTGTTTGTTCATAGCTAGCTTAACATCAATTCTAGGAGGTGGGATGAGGTGACTGTTTTTGGCTTAAACCAAGTTAGGTATTTGTGAGGCTCATGATGCAATGAGCAGAAAATGACAGCTAACTGAGCGTTGTCCGTTGAGAAGAAATTTAGGTAAAAACAGATTCTGAGTTTGCAAAGTAGAAATGTACAGACTTCTTGGAAGCCAGCATGGGATGGAATGAAGAAGTGACAAAAACAGAGCAGTTCATTCAAGCACAGGAGGAGGGGACTGCGCTTTTGTGCCTCCAGGATTTCAGGTGAAAATGGTTTCAATAATGTACAAGAGCCTTTTGGAAAAGAATCGAAATAGAATACATGGACGTAGACACTAAATTGATTTACCTATGGGTACCTCTTATAGAAAGAGCTATTTTGGGGCTGGGAAGGTGGCTCAGTGGTAGAGTGCTTGCCTTGCATGCCTGAGGCCCTGGGTTTGATTCCTTAGCACCACATAAGCAAAAAGAAAAAAGCCGGAAGTGGTGCTGTGACTCAAGTGGTAGAGTGCTAGACTTGAGCTGAAGAGCTGAGGGACAGTGCCCAGGCCCAGAGTTCAGGCCCCACGACTGGGCCCCCCCCCCAAAAAAAAAGAGCTATTTTGTGGCCGGGGGCTGGGAGCTCACGCCTGTCATCCTAGCTACTCAGGAGACTGAGATCTGAGGATCATGGTTCGAAGGCAGCCAAGCAGACAAGTCCATGAGACTCTTACCTCTAATGAACCACCAGAAAACTAGAATTGGTGCTGTGGTTCGAGGTGAGTAGAGCATTAGCCTTGAGCAGAAGAGCTCAGGGACAGAGGCTATGTCTGGTTCAAGCCCCATAACAGATAAATAAAAATCTATTTGTGGACACAAGCAATCTGTACATGCTAATATATTGGATGATTAGATACATATATTACATTGGAAGTTCTTCAACACTATCTCTTTTGTACTGAGAAAGACTCAGTAGTAAAGCATTGGCATATGTTTACTCTTTCTGCTCCAGTACTACCATGAATTTTATCCCTTATCATTTAACTTGCCCTCAAGTGTTTTCCTAACATGTATTCCTGGTTAATTTGATGATGTAATCTTCAACATCATTTTAAGAGAGAAATGCAGACTAGGACTAATCATTGTCTTTTTTTCAATTTTTAAGATCCTGACTTTAAGGACCTTGGAGTTTTGAAACCATTACCAGGTTGGTAAAAATCGGAGGTCTTTGTGTTCTTCTGTGAAGCATACCTTTGGCTGATTATTCAAGCTCCATCTTTGTGTGTTTGTTTGGCATCTTATATTTAGTGTGTGAGTTTGAGATGGGCGGCTCTGAAGGCATTGTGGAGTCCGTACAAATTCTCAAAGAAGGCAAAGCTACTGCCAGCGAGGCCGTGGACTGCAAGTGGTACATCAGAGCTCCTCCACGATCCAAGGTCAGTCTTGACGCACAGATGCCAGCGGCCTGGACGCACATGGAAATGCGCCGTGTTTGTGAAGCAGCCGGGCGTGCTCCGACTGTGTGCGCTCACATCTGTCATGGCTGTGCTTTCCTTTGGGCCTTGTGATGCATCTTGTCCTCCCTGGTTCATCCTAACACTCTGTGCCACGATCTACAGTGTGCTAGGAATCGCTTGACAATCCAGATGGGGCCTCTAAAGTAAGCCTACCTCTGAAAAGTAGATGGGAATGGGTTACGCCCAGCTGTGGGTGAGGCAGACGTTCCTCCTCTCCCCTTTCTCCCCTGGTCAGATCTGCAGCTTGTTTGCTAACCTCAACACCCATCTGTGGAAGAAATGGGCAGGGGTGACATCGAGTCTAAAACTCAGGTGTGATAATGCAGGAGAGTGAGGTAACAGGGCATGGGAGCCAGTCCCCCTAGGAAGGGGACCCTGGCTCCGTAACCGCCTCCTGTCCCTGTGGGATTGGGTGGCCGCCATTACCATTCAACTATGTTTCGTAACATAAATCCAGCTTTTATGTCGATCATCTTGATTTTAAGCACTATAAACACGCTGCTTTTATACCACACTGAGTAGAATCTGGGCCTGAATCAGAGGCAGGCCAATGCATTGAAAATGTTATTTTAGAACTCCAATCCTTCCTTCCTTCCTTCCTTCCTTCCTTCCTTCCTTCCTTCCTTCCTTCCTTCCTTCCTTCCTTCCTTCCTTCCTTCCTTCCTTTCTTCCTTCCTTCCCTCCCTCCCTCCCTCCCTCCCTCTCTCCCTCCCTCCCTCCCTTCCCTCCTTCCCTTCCACCTACTCCCTCTTTCCCTCTTTTTCCTTCCTTCCTTTTTCCTCCCTTTCTTCATCTCCCCTTTCTTCCCTCCCTTCCTTTATATTTTTCTTTTCTTTTCCTTTCTTTATGTTCTTTCCTCCCTTTCCTCCTTCCTTGCTTACCCTTCTCTTCCCTTTCCTTCTTCCCTTTCTCTTCTCTCCTTTCCTTTTAAAAGTTATTTGTAACATGCATGAGACCATGAGTATATGCACAGATGATGAGAGCTATATTTTATTTGATTATGCTTTCTTGCAGAGTATGTGCATTCACACAGAACTGCCTTCCATTTTTCTTTACCTCTAAGAATAACTGCGAGACTTTTTATAGATGGGAAGTGTGTGTGCAGCCTCCTGTCACCGCTGTGTTAAAGGGAAGGTTGCTCTGCCAGTGTAAACACACACCTCTTCTTGCCAGCTGGTAAATAGCTAGCTGTCTTTTGTCTAGTCCTGGAGCAACAATGCAAGTGTACCTGTCTGTTTCAGAGTTTGGCATTCTGTGACTCAAAGGGGAAGTCTCCTGCAGAGTTGTACCAAGATGGTTCCATTGTGACAGGCTTTCTCTGTTCAGCTAAAGGTTAGAGGACAGGAAGTGCTTGGCATGCTATAGAGAAGGCAGGGACCGGGGATTGCTGCCTCCGTAGGCTTCTATTTTTACAGAGTTCCTAGCAGTTTATGAGAAGCGCCTATCAAAGCATCAGTTAAACTTCCAGCGGCTCCTCTGAGCATCTGCAAGGAACCCGGTGACTGCACAACGGATGTGCTAAACAGCTGCCTTGAGTTCTGTGCAACTTTAACGTTGCTCTGTGCTGCCTCTCAGCTTTAGCAAGCAGAAAAAATGATGTCCACTGATCCTTTTCACATCAGTACCATGTGAGCAGTCTCGACTTCTTAGAATCTGCAAAACCAGAGAAAGAGCATGTTGAAATTAGTTACTGAAGAGTAGATCAATAAGTGGAGGGCCTGGAGTGTAGAAACACACTTCTATGAGCAAACCTTTCATGTTTACATAGGTGCTAGAGAGAGGGTGGAGGGAGAGCATTGGTGTGTCTGGTTAGGGACCTGGCCCAGAGAAGAAGGCCCAGGCTGGAATAATGCAGATGCAAATGACGGTTACCATTGGAACCTGGATTCTAGGAGGGCCGGGCCTTATGCATCTCAGCCCACCTAACAGAAGGTCTGTCATTCAGCTACAGCTCACAAAAAAGTAAACTGATGGGCATCTCAAACAAAACTCATAGTAACAATCTTCAGACATTTGAAGAAGTGTCATTTGAGGTGGGATAAAACTAAACCTGCATGGTGTTAAGTATTGCAATTTGGTTGAATATTTGAAATGAGGATAGAGTTTTCGATATAACGTCTTGTACATTTCATTGTTGAAATGGGTCCACTTGTATCCCTATTTAAACAATTTGTTTTTTCCCTTCCCATCCACAAATTATGCCAACATCAAATACAGTGAAAATAGGGGTTATACCATGGGGACATACAAAGCAACAAAGAAATATCTTATAAATGTGTTAGAATTTTCAATTTTATATATAGAAGGCTTTTGGTTTAATAAAGAAGATTACATGGGATTCAAGAAGCAGAATGTAAGCAGAGTTTGGCAGGGATTATGTATAATAATTAAAATCAAAGTAATTTTTGGCAGAGAGGCTATAAGAATCCTTGTAATAGCAAAACTCCATGATTCTGTGATAAGTATTGGTTCTGATATTTGGCTAGTTAGTAACAGAGTTTAAGCAAGAGCCATACCAGCATTTAATTCTGGTTCCATTTGATATTGCAAAAAAGAAATGGAAGTAAAATTGGATAAACTGGTTCCTCTCTGTAAATCATTTGGTAATGTCAGATTGGAAGGCAACTTGGATGGCTTTTAAATATTTTTCTCCATGTCTATATAATCATCTCTTTCCTGCCTTACCACTATATGTAGTTGGTGTGTGCATTTTAACATCAAGGAAACAATGAGGTTTTCTGGTTCTTTTCCAAATAAAGGAGATATTGCTAGCTCCCAAATTCATGTGACATCCTCCTAAGATGATAAATGTGTCATGGTCATTGACATATTTGACAGCAACCACAGGATTTGGGCGATACGTGCTGTCCAGAATACCGATTAGTTATAAAAGTACCCAGTAGCATTGAAAACATGCATAGCGTCTCTCAGACGACAGCACATTTCATTTTCATTTGTTGTAGGGAAAAACACAATAATTGCCTCAGTATCTGTTTTCTTTTTTCTTTCATGTGACGTAAAGGGAAGATCACTTGGTTAAACAATTGGTATTAAATTTTATTTGTAAATCTGTTCCTTAGGGCTGGGAAGGTGGCTCAGTGGTAGAGCGCTTGCCTTGCATGCATGAGGCCCTGAGTTCGATTCCTCAGCACCACATAAGCAAAAAGAAAAAGCTGGAAGTGGCGCTGTGGGCTCAAGTGGTAGAGCTCTAGCCTTGAGCTGAAGAGCTGAGGGACAGCGCCCAGGCCCAGAGTTCAAGCCTCACGACCGTACCCCCCCCCCCAAAAAAAATCTGTTCCTTAATAAATTGTTAGCTAAATTTATTTGCTTTGCATCTAAAGCCAAGGGTTTTGCCTTCCATATTAGCGTGACTTGGCAAACAGCTATGACTAGAAATGGTGTGTGTGTTGGGAAGTTTCCACGTCCCGTTCTATAAATCATCGTGTCAGCTCCAGCTCTTTGTGATTGATTAAAAAGAGAATGCGTCGGAATGACTCGCTGAGGAGAGATGATAATCTGACCGTTTTACTAGGTTATATATTACTCTGTTTATCATTTCCTCTTCGCTTTAGCGGAGGGGCTGACACGTTTTTGTCATTGGCAACATAAACACTTCTTGGTATTGTTATGGCACAAGGCTTATGGTGATGGGACGGCCATTTGTAGCACAGTATCACAGTCCATCAGGACTTTAAAGCATGTACTCGAGAGCTGGTGGCCGAAGACTGGCTGCGTCTTCTGTTTTTTCCTGGCTGGATTTTCCTTAGCTTTGGCAGAGGTCTGGGTGCAATGAAGTAAAAACCCTAACATAGTTTACTACTTTTTTAATATAATGGAAGAATGGGAGTTAAAAAGAATTATAAGATGTGTTAGAAGAGATTAACAAAATCTACTTCCTTTTGGGGAATGGACATGGTTATTTATTTATTTCATTTGCATCAGTTCCTTGGGTTGTTAAAGTTGTTGGCTTTATGATGGCATCTTTTTTCCTGTGGAGCATTTTTTGAAAGTTTTCTGAGACTGTGTGGTATGAGAATCAGGATATTGGGTAATTACATGTCATACAGACTTGTTTCCCTGTGAAGAAGTTACTTAATTTTGCGAAATCATAGTCTCCTCATCTTCAAATGAGTATAACAAGTGTCTCTTGTATCAAAATGTGGTGAGTAGAACCATAGCCAGGGACCTTGCAGGCTTTCTTTTCCTAATGATAAATTAGTGTTTCAACTTGTGTTCTGACACGAGAATAGTGAAAACCTCAGATGTACTATTTTTCCTCCTTGATTCAGTCAAGTAGCTACTTTAATTAAGTAATTTTCCCTCTGTGGGAAAAGCATTTGGTTTTGATAACCTCACAGGGAGAGGAGGGGTTGCTTTGTATTCCACTTAAAATAGAAATGGAGCCCACTGTGTGTTTCTCTTACTGGTAAATTTGCATGTTTTTACTGAAATTGCACATCCTTATCAGAGGTAATAAGCCACATTGAATTGGCTACATTGTGTTTTAAAACTGAAACATATATTTGACTTTATTGCATTTAATAAGCTTTTTTTTTCTTTACAAGAATACCTAGATTTTGGTTTTCAGTTTGTTTACTTTAGCTCATAGAGGACAAAATGACTTGGTGAAGAGAAACCTAAAAACAGAGTCGAAGGTCTTAAACCATTTAAAGTATCCACATTATTTGCTTATTTTTTTCAAGCAAAAGTATTGTATTTTTCCCTGTAGCTTTCCTGTAATAGATATCTTTAAAAATTATCCCTTCTTTTATAAAATAATCTGTGTGAATAGTCAAGAAACAAAGGACAGAATTTGGCAAAACTCGCAAGGCTTCACATATTTGAGATGTACATCTTCTTAAATAGGACATTTCTGGGATTTCCTGGATAACTTGAGGAATGTTGTGTCATGTTGTAAAGAGGAGGTCACACATGCCCTACGTGAGAGTTCTTTGAACTACTGGTAGAATAGAATTAAGCAACGGCTTGAGCTTGGATACAGCGAAGCCTTTCCTGAGGTGCTGGCTTCACAGAGATGAGGCGGGAACACCTGATTTGAAATCACTCTCAGAGCAGGCGGATATGTTCGGCTCGCTTTCCAACTGAGATGAGCAGATTGCCTCTATATGAAAACTTCGTTAGCTGGCAAAGCATAATGAAACCCTACTGCGTTCCACTCATTTTTATTCATTTTTTCACATTTCTGTTTGTGTTTTTCCTTCTCAGAATTATTTTCAAGGGTCTTCACCTGGGCCATCCTATTTTATCTTTAAGCTGCTATAAATTTGCAAAATTATTTTTATCATTCTGTCATATTTAGAACTATATGATACAGTGTTTTGAGAGTTATCCTTAGTAAATTCCTACTGTAAATAATAAGATGACTATTTCATGTAATTTTCATTATCTGTGGCACACAAGACATTGTCTGGCATATAGATACCTAATAAATAATGAATGCTGAAGAAACAGGGTCAGTAAAGAAATAGCACTTCCAATTTAGTTATTAGTTTGCAGCTCCATCCATTTCTAAAATTTTATGGAGTGCTTAGTATGTGCAAAATGTGGTTTAATGCTCAGCAATTGAAAATAGGGAGCTCTGCCCAGAGCATTGAGTAGAGAAGGGGTTTGTCGTCTTCACAGATTACAATATGGTCAGTTAGCCCACTTTAGCATCGGAGTGAGAGACTTGGCTGTGGTTGAAGACTAGAGCAAGTGAACAGTTCTTCCCTGGAGATGCCAAAATGAAATATACCTTGACACATCAGGAAGAAGTTGCCAGGAGAAGACAGAGTAATACTTCCTGTGAAAGTCATGTCATGTGTATGAATGATGGTATGTTTGGAAATAAATGCACAATGTTGGAAGCTAAGGAGAGTGTGTTTGTCAGTTTAGAGTTTTGCAGTGCTTTTTATAAGCATGTGTCAGAGATTTTGACTCAAAGATAAATTATTCACTTCCTGTCTTAGAAGTATAGCCATTTGTATGATGATGGCTTACTTGAAAATATATTGGACGCTAAGGAATGCATGGTGGTCAGTTTATAGTTTTTCAGTATCTTCTTTTATCCTATATTAGTTAAAGATTTGTGTCTCAAGGTTTATAAATTATTAGATTTGTTACTGAGAAGTTCAGCTTGCTGGGTGGGGCTTTGATGCGGATGCGGATTCTGAAGTCTGGCCAGGAGACCGAAATATTAGATTTGGCAGATGAAATCAAGCAGGGCTAGTGTCTTATTCAGTAAGATCACAGAGAGTCAAAGACAAATTTCTACTATTTGAAATACTGAAATTTTAAATTCAGCTTACACATGTCAGATCTGGGGAGATGCTGTCTCATGGAATCTATAGTTTATGGAATAAGGAAAAAAATCAAGGGGAAGGACAGCAGAGAAAGGGTGAGAGAAAGGGTGGGACAAAGCGTGGACCAATTCAGCAGTGAAACCTGCTAGATACTCTGCTGGAAATGAACTATACAGCTATGGAGGGAGGACAGAGTCAGAGGGGGGACACTGAGAGAAAACGAGGGAGGGGTAACGATGTTCAAAAGGAACAGGTAAGTTACGTGACTCCTGTAACTGTAACCCTCTGCACATCACCTTTACAATAAAATTTAAAAATCTTTAAAAAAAAAGAAAAAGAAAGAACTCATACAGAGGAATGAAAAAGATGACTTACTAACTGAGGGCCTAGCTTCCGTGCGTGTATCCTTGTGACAGAAGAGAAGGACCCAATAGGTTTGAATGTGAGACAATACGATGTGAAATGCTTAGGAGAAACCTCTGTGAAGAAAACCTGTATTATTCCAGAACTGTCCAGACAGCCCTCTCAGGATCTCTGTCCAGGCTTGTTTTTGTGCTTCTGTATTTCCCCAGTAGATGAGATTATATATTGGTGTCATGATTTCAGAGACCCATATTTTCGGCACTGGTCTTTATTTGGTTGTCTATTATTGCATCTTCCATACCTTGAATTGTGTCTGGGTCCACCTAAGAGCCCAGAGTGGACGTAGCTGAGCTGATGGATGGATGAACAATGTCTTCACAGTCTTCTCTTGGGTTGAGGTAGTTACTTGAGGTTCTGAATATACACTGATGGTACCAGAACTGTCAGTTGATCAAGAACAGGGCATGAGGCACTGAACCCTGTGGAGGTTGAGGGACCTACTGTCTCAGTCCCTGACGGAAACATCTGAGGTCGAATCGCCTCCTCTGAACCGGACAGGAGGGAGACCATTTTAGAGTTTCCAGGAGCTTAAGAAAAATGCAAACAATGTAGATTGCACATTACTTTTTTGCTCATTCATTTTAAATTTAATTTTTATTTGTGCAGAGTTAGCTAAATAGGACCATAAACTAGCTTAGCTTTTGAAATTTCTTTTTCATATTCCCCACTTTAAAACTGCAGCACTGTGGTTAAATAATTTTTAACAAACTGAAGCCAAACATCGTCTTTGATGGCTTGTCATTTTTGGTTTTTGAGGTTTTTCTTTTTTGTATTAACATTAATTATTTCTTTGGGAGAAAAAAAGGAAGCTGTGGAACTTTGACAAGAATGTGTCAGGGATATTTAAAACATTTATTCAACCAAATTAACACAACAATGGATAACTTTGGATGGATAACTGATTCCAAATAAGTTATGGGAAGACTTAGGCACACATGTGGGGGGGGAATACCCCAAAAATAAAGAAACACAACTAAGCTAATGGAAATGGTGAATTGAAGTAAAAAAAAGAACAACCCATACAAATACCAGCATTTGGGAAAAAAAATACTGAACACGATTTGTGTTTTCCTTGTGCGTCTTCCTGTTCTCCACAGGGGGACAATAATGCGTCTGATTGCAATCAAGAGCGTCTTGTGAGATTGCCAGCCAGCCAAGGAAGTTCTGGTACTTTCTAGACTGGGCTCTCTGTTCTCTCTAGACCCGGGGGACTTATGGTCTGGTTGTTTTACAGATTTACTTACGGTTCTTGGACTATGAGATGCAGAATTCGAACGAGTGCAAGAGGAATTTCGTGGCGGTGTATGACGGCAGCAGCTCGGTGGAGGATCTGAGGGCCAAGTTCTGCAGCACGGTGGCCAACGACGTGATGCTGCGCACGGGGCTGGGCGTGGTGCGCATGTGGGCCGACGAGGGCAGCCGCAACAGCCGCTTCCAGATGCTCTTCACCTCCTTCCAAGAACGTAAGCCCCCCGCCACCATGCCCCCTCCGATGCCCCCCGGGCTGCTGCGGCTCCCAGCCACTCCTGGGGCTTGCTTCCTGCGGGCCAGGTCTGGCCAGGCATCCAGAAAGAAGGCGCCCCCCCTCTCCGAGAGCGCCCTTCCTGCCTTGTGGTCCCATACCAGGAGCGAGTCCTGTATCCCTGGCCCCCAGGAGGTGCGCCAGCCCCCTCGTCCAAGTTGAGATCCTAAGACAGACACATAACCAACAGTGTGCTTCGGACCAAGTCTGAGATCAAACCTTTAGAAAGCTGGTTAAAAGCCTGTTGGGTGTTGGGCTGGGTAGAGTGTTTGCCTGGCATGCATGAAGCCCTGGGTTCGATTCCTCAGGACCACATCAACAGAAGTGGTGCTGTGGCTCACGTGGTAGAGTGGCTAGCCTTGAGCAAAAGAAGCTTGGGGACCGTGCCCCAGGCCCTGAGTTTGAGCCCCACGACTGGCAAAAAACAAACAAACCAAAAAACCTTGTTGGCCCATTATAGTAAGCTCCAGTCAGAGTCCTATATATCTCAAGGTCACTCCTGACCATTTTGGAGGTCAGTGAACGGAACGTAGTGGTTCAGGACATGTCTGAAGGGCACATGCATGATGTTCAAAGCCATGCAGCTGTCTTAGCAAGTTATATGTATTGTTATATTCTGTAACAATTATGGCATCAGTATATACTGATGCCTTCTCAAAAGCCTGGGTCTGTCCTATTGTAACAATTTCTGCAAATGGAAAATAATGCTGAGTAGTAAAGGCTTTTATTTTTGGTATTCCGCTTTTGTTGAAAAGGTTGAAACTTGCTCAAACATGGATTAATGCCTCAAAGATAAGAGCCACTTTTACAGAGTGTAGGGAATTCCTGAATACCATGGATCGGGAGGTGCCCAGGCCAGAGGACTTGGAAGAGGTGGGGTAGGGCCAACAGGAGACAGGGAGACAAATGAAGAGAAGAGGAGCAGAGTGACATGCAGTAAAGAACACAGTGTACATCCTACAAAATTAAGAAGAGAGAAAGAAGGGATGGGTAGGCGAGAGATTGGGTAATCATGATGAAAGGTGACACTGATCAAGATATATTGTGTCCATAAACTGCTTTGTTAAATGGCAACTCTACTTTGTACAGCGACTTAAAGATCATAAAAAGAAGAAAAGAACATCAGAAAGGATGTCTGTGAAGGGGGTAAGACCACAGACAGTGGTTCAGCCAGAAAAATGTATTCTCACCCAACCAGGTTGGGAGAAAGGAAGCATGTATGTTGGTCAGTGGGGAAAGCATCTAGAAGCCACGCTTCCTTTGAGCTCTAAAATAGATCATCTGATTTTGAGTCATTAGAGCTCAAAAGTGGCAGACCATACCATGCTGTGCCAGCTATGACACATAAGAGACAAGAGTGGGTTTTAATACCTTTTCATTTCTGGGCATCTGTCAGTGGCTGGACTTACCCACGAGCCATGCAGGGGGCCAGAGCCCTGTTCCTACATAGGAAAGGGTGGTTTCTGGACCTTTAGTAAGTTTCTGGCTGGGAGATGATGATTGTTACAATGCATCCCCTGTGATCCCCTCAATGCTCAGTAAACATCCACGGACACCTCGGAAAACCTGGCTGCTCATGCCTCATCTGAAAACTCACACACGGAAAAATCCAGTCCCTCATGTGAGCGTGTCACGGGTGGAGGACAGTGTGCTGGTGAGGTCACACTTGTGTGCTGATGAGGTCACACCGGCAGAGCCTTCGGTGGGATCAGAGGCCCTGGAGGAAGGCCTCCGAGAGTTGCTTGTGTCCTACAAGACACAGTCGGAAGACCCCCTGTGAATTAGGGCCCCTGTGAGTCAGGCCTGCACACCACAGGTACCCTGCAGGTGCCCTGATCCTGGACGACCCAGACTCCAGAGCTAGGAGAAACAAATTTCTCTTCCTTTTTAACTTCCTGGCTTATAGCATTTTGTGATAGCATCTTAAATTGTCCAAGACATTTCCAAAGGCTTTTTTTTTAAATTTGTATAACGTTGACTTTGTTTCTGCTGCACATTCTGGTCATCTTAAAGTGAGAAGAAGCATTTTCCACTTACGTTGTGACAGTAGCACAGCTTAATGCATGCAGTACCAAATTATCGATGATCAGAGCACCCGCACCTGCACGTGGGGTGTGGGGTCGTTCTAGAGCTCTGGCCTCTGGCATCCATGGCATTTGAGGCTCTTGGTCAGTGGTGTCTGCTCTGAATCATGTACCCAGGCTTGTCAAGAGATAATTGTATTTATATAATTTTTTGTGCCAGTCTTAGGGCTTGAACTCGGGGCTTGTTTGCTGATCCTTGAGCTTCTTTTGCTCAAGGCAAGCACTCTATCACTTGGGCCACAGTGCCACCTCTGCCCTTTTAGTGGTTAATTAGAGATAAGAATGTCCTAGACTCTCTTGGTATAGAAGACCCTTCCTTTGGGAAAAGTAGCAGCTGGGGGGAACACCCATTTTCATTTGGTAACTAATATACAAATGATTGGAAATGGTCTCAAAATGTCAATAGGATTCTTAATCCTTTGGCCACAAATTGATCAGAAAAGGAAAATGTTGGGGAGCGGCCCTGGCTAAACTGGGTGGCTGTGAACATGGAAGCTTCTGGCAACATGACAGTCCTTGAGGAAGAGAGCAAGGCCAGCGTGCTGCCTGCTCAGGCATCCTCAGCCTCCAGCGCTTAGAGAGCACCTCCCTAGCAGCTCAGCTGGCGGCTGAATGAAGACCTTGGTGAGGACCTTGGTTATACAACCCTAAAGAACCAAACTTGGACTGTGAAGGCGAAATCTAGTAAGAGGCCTCTCAGCACATCCAGTGTGAACAGCCTAGACTAGCCAGCACCCCATCACTGTGTGGAGGACCTAGCACCCAAGCTGCTCACTGGCAGAAGTCAGGAGCAAGGAAATAAAGGCGAGGTCATCATAATCTGATGACCTGTTACACAGCAGTAGAAGACTACTCAGGATCCCAAGCAGTTAGGATGACAGGCTTAAGACAACAACCACATCCAGCTACCTTTCTGTGGTGGTGGTTGTTAATTTTTCATTGGTAATGGAATTTTAACTCAGGGCTTTTCACTCACTAGGGAAGTACTTTGCCCCTTGAGTCAAACCTCCAGCTGTTTTTTACTTATTTTTTTCCCTCAGATAAGGCCTGTGCTTTTGCCTGAGCTGTATTTGGACTGTAATCTCCCTCTACAACTTCCAGAGTAGCTGGAATGACAGGCATGGAGCACCATGTCCAGTCTCAGAGCTTAGACCCTTGTGAATCTCCAAAACAGAACCTACTTGAATCCTTACCCAGATTTCTGACATGCAGAAATGTGCAATCATAAATAGGTATCATTTGGAGATGGAAGGTAAATGTAACAAAGTATTAAATGATTACCACTTCTAAGTTGGTAACTCAGAAAATATAGCAAGATATTGTATGTCAGCACCAACTGGAACCCGAAAGCTGAGGGACTGCTATTCATTTCTCAGCCTAATGATAACCTTTGATTTGATAAATGTTCATGGTGACATTTCCATTCTGCTGTGGAGGTAAGCAAGTCCAGTCCTCCTGTGTTCACCCAGATCAATCCACTGGGGCCACTTCTTCCGAACACACGAGTTCATACCTTGATTTCTGCTCCTACTCCCACCAAAGCCTGCATTCATTTGCTTGGTGCTGTGAAGCCACGTTCTGTCCCTGGGTTGTTGATTTTCTCCTGCTTTCATCTGCTATTTGACTCTTAACAGGTGATAGCTGATGACTTCGGGGTCTGATCCTACCTAGAACATGGTATCATCCTCCTTTGTTTCTTGTCCTATCAGCATTCTGAGCCAGGCACAAGTGGCTCACACCTGTAATCCTAGCTAAGTAGGAGGCTGAAATCTGAGGATCACAGTTCAAAGCCAGCCTGGGCAAGAAAGTCCGTGAGACTCTTCTCCAGTAAACCACTTAGAAAAGCCAGATGTGGCACTGTGACCCAGGTGGTCGAGCCCTAGTCTTTAGCACAGAGAAATTTGGGGACAGAGCCCAGTGCCTGAGGTCAAGCCCCAGAAAAATACACAATCAATCAATACATACATACATACATGCAGCATTCTGTGCTGAACACTGCAAATACCTAATTTTGTAATAGCTAAGTATAGTGGTCAGGTTTTTTAATGTCCTCAATGTCATGGATTCTAAAGAGAAAAATTAAAGACCATAATTTAAATCTTACTTTGCAAGTGCAGTGTTCAGTGGAACTATGAGAAAAAGTATGAAGTACAATGATGGTCGGTTCAGACTTACCTTTCCCATTAATTTTCACAGGAAAAACAGGATGACTTTAAGTACTTTTTGTTACAGAAAAAGGAATTACAATATTTTTCTAATTCACCACCCTGTCTATATAAAGAATCAGAAGGACAGAATAAATATTATATATCTCATTAAATGTTTTACAGTGTTGTTCATTCAACAACAATATTTTTTCCTCTGGAAAAATGAGGCCCTACCATCATTAATTACAAGTCTGGGGTAAAAGTAAGATCAAAAGCAGTGTAGGAATTCTGTATTCCACCAACTGGAGAATGCCGTGTTATCAATAATAACAGTCTAGACTGTAAGCTGATGTCTCACCACTGTGAATTGATGTGTTTTTAAAAGATTAGAAACACTTTATTAATATAAGAAGTATTTACTTATGTATGTTGTAGAGCAACATAAATATCAGTCGGCATAGATTTAAATATCAACAGCACACAAACTAAGCTCGGAAAATATTTGACAATATGTCATATTTTGGCATAAAATAGAATAAAACATGATATGGATAAGAAAAATACCACTCTATTCAAGTCCACAACATGAAATAGGTATTAAGATAAAAAATTCATAGTGAACATACATAGAGAAAATGAACTTTAGAACAAATGACAAGATACATATACAAAGTACATATTTATTTTTCCCTAGGAATAAGAAGTTTATA